TACAACCAACAACAAGACCACCACCAACAACAACAACACCAAAATCATCACAAACACCACCACCAACAAAAACAACAACACAACTACCAAAAACAACACCAAACACCATCACCACCACCAACACCACCAAAAACAACACCACCACCACACACAAAAACAACCATTACCACCAACAACAAGACCACCACCAACAACAAGACCACCACCAACAACAACACCAAAAACTCCACCACCAAAAACAACAACTACAACACCACTGCCAAAAACAACATCAGCAACAAACACCATCGGCACCACAAACAACACCACAAACACAAAAACACCACCACCAACAACCCCAATACCACCACCACCACCAACATCAACAAAAACACCACAAACACCACCACCACTGCCAAAAACAACAGCATTAAACACTATCACCGCCAAAAACGACACCACCACCACAAAAACAACAGAATTAAACACTATCACCACCAAAAACGACATCACCACCACCCCAAAAACAACATCACTACCGAAAACGACAACAGCAACACCAAAATCAACACCAACACTATCAACAACACAACAAACACCACAACAAACACCAACAACAACTACTATTATTATTACTATTATTATTATAACCCATTTTTGGATTTAATTATCAGGGAAATTTGCAATAGTACAAAAAGATTAAGACCTATTCAAGACCTTCTCATCCTAACAATTCTAAATAAATGTGTACTATCAAGATAAACATTAACAGCAGCAATATTACACTTCTGATGCATACTTCCATATTTATATTACGTATAAAAACTCAAACTTTACATTTAAATTATCAATTTTTATATTGAGACTAAAATGGTGATTGGTTTAAAACTTTAAAGGGCCGTTTCCCCAGTATTTAAACCCTCAGATTCTAGATTGTCATATATTTGTATCCTAATTAATAATTGTCTTAAAGCAAAAACCATATATCAACGGAAAGCTTATTTTACACAGCTTCCAGAGGACGCAACCTATTGTAGACAGAATCTCCAAAAATTGACACTTATGGCTGGTTTTGTGGTCCAGGGTCACATGCAAGTCTTACGGAGATCTCTTTCCAGGTATATCACACAGTTTTAGATCAGTATAAAAGGAGCAAGCAGAGCCGAGCATCTGCATTGACTGTAAATGTGTTGTGAGTGTATGGCGCTCTGCAGGCTTGCATTGATAGAGATCTTTTATTGATTGTGTTGTTTAGGGCAGCTTCTGTAAATGGACTTTTACCGAGGTAATGACTGACTCTCACAGTCCTGCTGCGCTAAACAGAAAATGATTACAGGTCCCAGCGCTAAGCAGGTTTGCTGCAATTAGGAGGCTGTAGGAGAAATCCAGCACATAGCACAAGGCTGAACGTGCTTATTTCAGCTTTCCAGAGAGACAAAAAGACGTTCACAATAGACATAAGAGCATAATCTGGACATAGTTTTTTTTCCATTAGTAAAACATGGCTAAAAAACAACTATGTATGGTTCATGAGCAATATTAGATATTAAACAAGCAAGCTTTAATCACATGCTGAAATCACACATAATCAGATTTGAGTCTGAAAAATATGCGCATTTATTATTATGTAACGGAGGCCAACTAGCGAAGTGCTATGCAGGTAAACCTCACTCCTCTGACCTCTAAAAGTACTCTAGCAATAGACGCCTCATTGCTAGAGCAATCGACTGCCAATCAAATAATTGCCGGTTCGATCCCAGCATTAGACCGGGTTGAGTGCAATAGGGCTGGTAGGTTACACTTGGGGGCTCGTCCGGGATGGGAGTGAGGTTTAGGGGGGTCCCCAGGTAACGAAGTGCTATGCAGGTAAACGTCATTCCTCTGACCTCTATAGGTGCTATAGTGGTAAACGCTATTGGTCATGGTCTTAAGCCTCCTTGTTAGAGCAACCAACTCCCATGCAAAGAATTGCCGGTTCGATCCCAGCTGAGACAGGGTTAGGTGCAGTAGGACTGGTGGGTTATACTTGGGGGCTCGTCCGGGATGGGAGTGAAGTTCAGGGTGGTGGCCAGCTAACGAAGCGCTATGGAGGTAAACCTCAGTCCTCTGACCTCTAAAGGTGCTCTCGCGACAGACGCTAGAGGCCATGGTCTTAAGCCTCCTTGTTATAGCAACCAACTCCCATGCAAAGAATCGCTGGTTCAATCCCAGGTCAGACCAGGTTGAGTGCAGTAGGACTGGTGGGTTACACTTGGAGGCTCGTCTGGGATGGCAATGTGGTTTAGGGGGCCGAGTGTAACAGAGGCCAGCTAGGGAAGTGCTTTGCAGTTAAACCTTACTCCTCTGACCTCTAAAGGTGCTCTAGTGATAGTAGCTTCCTTGTTAGAGCAACCGACTCCCAAGCAAAGAATCGCTGGTTCAAATCCAGCTCAGACAGGGTTAGGTGCAGTAGGACTGGTAGGTTAAACTTCGGGGGTTTGTCCGGAATGGGAGTGAGGTTTAGGGTGGTGGCCAGCCAACTAAGCGCTATGGAAGTAAACCTCAGTCCTCTGACCTCTAAAGGTGCTCTAGTGACAGACGCTAGAGGCCATGGTCATGGCCATGGTCCTTGTTAGAGCAACCAGAATTGCCAGTTTGATCCCAGCTCAGACTAGGTTGGATGAAGTATGACCCATGGGTTACATTTATATTTTATTTTATATTTCTCTAATAATAATAATAATAATAATAATTATTATTATTATTATTATTATTATTATTATTATTATTATTATTATTATTATTATTATTATTATCATTGCGATTTAAAAAAAATATTTAATTTACAGTGAATTATGCATAAGCACAAACTTTTTTTTTTAATGTTTAGACCTAATAAATAAAATTAACTATTCCTTTAATCTCATGTTAGCAAACCAAATACCAAAATATAATTATAATAAAACAAAAAACAGCAAACAAATAAACAAGTTATATCAAATAGGATTTTCAGATTATCAGAAACTGTTCAGTCAAAACTCTTTAACTGAGCTCCCTTCATAAAAGAGTTTTCTACAAACTGTAAAAGCAGGACAGTCCAACAATAAATTATGTTTTTCAGAAAGAGAAATCTTGCAAAACACGCATTGATTAGGATCTAAATCTTTAAGTATAAAAGTATGTCTGACAAAAAGCCACAGAAACACACTTACAAAGCACTCAGCAGCGTCGTCCATGAAGCCCAGCTGAAAGCGCTGTTCATCCTTGAAGTTTTCTGCCAGGGCGTTGCGCAGGTTATCTGAGGGTAACGCTCGCTCTCGGCTGTGCTGGAACTGAGAGAATATTCCCTGCACAACAGACATTAAGTGCTTTTGAACATGAAGCCAACATTTGACACTAAAACTCTTTTTTTAAAGTTCTGTTTTATTATGAATTTTGTTCATAGAAATACCTTCAAAGCGCAGAAGATGCAGGAGTCCCCCAAGCAGTGGTGGTTCGGAAGCTGACGAAGACTCCGCCGGAAGATATCCAGCTGCCAAAGCACCTAGAACAAACAAACAAACAAAAAATTTACAAATAGATAAACAAACAAACACAAATGACAAATAAATGCATAAATAAATAAATAGAAAAAATAAACAAACAAACAAAAACTGCTTAAATAAATGCATAAATAAACAAATAAAGAAAAAAACGAAGAAATAAACAAACAAATAAATAAATTAAAAACAAATGCATAAATAAATAAAATGCATAAATTAGATAAATAAATAAATGCTTAAATAAAAAATAAATAGATAAATAAATGCATTAATAAATAAACAGATAAATAAATAAATGCTTAAATAAACAAATAAATGCATAAATAAATGCATAAATAAAAGCATAAATAAATAAATAAATAAACAAAACAAATGCATAAATAATGCATACATAAATAAATGCATAAATAAATCCATAAATAAAAAAATGCTAAAATAAATAAATGCTTAAATAAGCAAATGGTTAGTTAAATAAATAAATTTAAATCTTAATTTTTCTTTGGCTTAGTCCAGGGGTCACCAATCTCGTTCCTGGAGGTCCGGTGCCTTGCCGGGTTTAGGTCCAACTTGCCTCAACACAGCTGCCTTGGTGTTTCAAGAATACCTAGTAGGACCTTGATAAGGTTGTTCAGGTGTGTTTGATTAGGGTTGGAGCTAAAATTTTCAGCACACCGGCCCTCCAGGAACAAGTTTGGTGATCCCTGGCTTAGTCCCTTATTTATCAAGAGGTTGCCACCACAGCGGAATGAACCGCCAACTATTCTAGTATATGTTTCACACAGCAGATGCCGCTCCAGCTGCAACTGGGAAACACCCATGCACTCATTCACACACACACACACACACACACACACACACACACACACACACACACACACACACACTTTAGTTCATCCAAAGACAGCACAAGTCTTTGGACTGTGGGGGAAACCTAACACCTGGAGGAAGCCCATGCCAACACGGGGAGAACAATCAAACTCCACACAAAAACACTAACTAGCCCAGCTGAGACTCAAACCAGGGACCGTATTGCTGTGAGGCGACAGTGCTAAGCACTGAGCCACCATGCCACCCACTTTTATACAATAATATAAAAATAATATCCTTTAATCTTTAATAAACAGTCTAATCCTGCGATGTGAGGGATACGCACTTTGCGATACCGATGCTCAAATGATATATCGTTCAGCCCTAAATGCCAAAATGACAGCGTCTGATGGCCAAGGACGGTTTTATTTATTATTATTTTTGACTTTTCTTACTAGGCATCATTTTGTTCACAAGACTCAGAGGAATATGACGCATTGTCCTTGCTTGGAAGAAGAGCTTAAGGGAGATTAGGCAGAGACAGAGGATGAGAGCTGTGCATCTATCTGTATATACGTGTGTGTGTGTGTGTGTGTGTGTGGACTGGCACTGTAAGGTTTCTCTTCGCTCAATGTCTTTCCCTCAGGCCCCAGACAACTTAGTCGGAGTCTGACCTCACTGCATGGTGATGAGTACAAGAACAAGATAACGCAGAGATACGCTCAGTTATAATGTCATCCAAGAGGGGAAAACTGGCTTCCAGTAAGAGCCAACTGGGAAATGACAAACACCAGTCATTTGGGTGTTGAATGGTGGAGATGGGATACTGTAAATACTCTCACAGAGAAGACATGACATTGGAGTTTGGAGGTCATGCTTCAAAAAGGCATGGAATGATAACCGGTTTAAAGGTTTACCAAGGTTTGGAAAAGTCATCATTTTAAAATTGCTGAATTCATCTGTTATACCATTACTATGGTACAAGTAAGCTTTTTTTAATACATGTTCATTCAGTCATTTTCCTTTAGCTTAGTCCCTTTATTTATCAGGGGTCGCCACAGCAGAATGAACCGCCAACTTATCCAGCACATGTTTTACACATCGGATGCCCTTCCAGCCGCAACCCAGTACTGGGAAACACCCACACACACTCATTCACACACATACACTACAGCCAATTTATTTTACCCAATTCACCTATTGCACATGTTTCCAAGTGGTACTCACTGCAGAGTCACTTGGGCAGAGCTGAGCTCCTGCTTGCTGCACTTCTTATACAAGTGATGTCACTGGGGGTTTAGGGGCGGGGTAGGTGTACGCATTAAAACAGCTTATAGAAGGAGGAGCGAGAGCTCAAGCTCCCCCTCATTGGAGCTCAAGTGGCTCTGCAGCAAGCAGTGTCTCCATGTCTTTGGACTGTGGAGGAGAGGAGAACATGCAAACTCCTCACAGAAACACCAACTGGCCCAGCCAGGGCTCGAATCAGCAACCGTCTTTCTGTGAGGTGACAATGCTAACCACTGAGCCACCGCGCCACCTAGAAGTGATTCAAACATGCAACCTTCTGATCTGTAGTCAGATGCATTACCATTGTGCCACTTTACTCATGTGTTTTCTGACTATTTGATTTAGTTTTTTAGGGCAACAGTGTCTCCGCATTAAAAGCTACTGGTCAGCCCAAGATTTAGCAAACATCTGAAAAACAAAAATCGCTTGTACACCAACATATCTTCTTGCTATAGCGCTGAATAGTGCAGCAGCTTTTCTTTATATCAAAGGAAATCAGCTTTTATATCAGCCTTTTAAAGCTGTAAAGAAATCTGTGTGTTTGAAACTAAGACAGCATAATTTATTTGAGTGCTTTCACACCTACACTTTTGTTTCGGAACGTGTCTCGATTGCCCAGTTAGCGCGGTTCGTTTGGCATATGTGAACAGGGCAATCGCGCTCTGTTCCGCGCCAAAGTAATCGCTCCGAGATCGCTTGAATGAGGTGGTCTCAGCTCGATTGAAACGAACCCTGGAGCGGTTCGATTGCAGTGAGAAAGCGATCCGATCCGAGCGCGGTTATATCACAGTGTTTTATGGATATGTAATAGGCTTACAGCTATATGAAGAGAGAATTATGAGTATGGCGGGAAGTTTCGCGAGTCTCCGGATGCCCGCAAACGAGTGATGATCTCTCGGTAATCTTGCGTCTCCCTCCCGGTCCTCAAATAGGCATCATCGCGCACCCTTCACACCCCTCCCCACCGCATCTCTCCTCAGACACATCGCGCGCGTGCACCCTGTCAATCACCACCAAACCACCACCTCTCCTAACAGCTGAGCGGGACGCTGCAAAAAAAACCCTGACACTCTGACCAATGTGAGGAGAGTTTACTCGCACGTGACTTGTTTATGCTCTTTTGGTCCGATTAGAAACTTTGCAGTGTGAAAGCGAACCGCTCCAAGAGCAAAGAGCAAAAATGTAACATTTGTAATCTCTGTTCCGGAACAACTGAATCGATTCACAGGTGTGAAAGCACCCTTAGAATTATTTAGCCTGACACGTTTACTGCGCCACAATATTTAAAATGTTTCTTAAAATAAAATAGATTGTATTCAATGGGGAATAAGGTGTTGTTTTTTTACCTAATAATTAAAAAAGAATATATTTAAGAGCAGTAACCACAATACCGTGAAACCGTGATAAATATATATTAATATTCTAACCACCTCATAGGCCCCGTTTACACTGCCAGTTAAATGTGTCCCAATGCCGATTTTTTGCTCATATGTGACACAGATCAGATCTGTTCAATGACCGTGTAAACATGAAAAAAATGCATGCATGCATTCGGATATCCAGAAATGAGTTTCAGGCCTCCTTCATATGTGGAAACAAATCAGATATACATCGGATATGTGGCAATGCGACTGTCATGTAAACAGGCAGATCGGATTTATTAAGGCGTTCCGTTCTGTACATCATTAAACTTGCGACAATGTGGTGCTTCTCAACGGTTTAATGACAGAAAGAAGAGCGTGTGTGGAGATGCCGACGCGGTAAACAACATCAGAGGAGGAAAGTGGTCAGTCGCCACAATTTGCTCCCACCAGACCTGAGATCTCTCTCGTACCAACAAGTTCCTTTGAATGGTGGAGGACAGCATATAAACCATAAGCGCAAGCTGCGATGACGGCCCTTTCCCATCTCCGCCTCAAAATTATTTTAAAGTTGGGCGAACTTCGTGTTGTAACTTTTGCTTATGGTCGCTATTAATACACACATTGCGGGCTTTACACAGAACAACTTTATTCTCTGTTAGATTTTAGAATTACGCATGCGTGAATTTTATTTACGCACAAAATATTTATGAAATGTGATTTTATTCCATACTCTAACACAGGGTTTTTCAAAGTCTAAGACAGGGGGCCTCCCTTTTGACACAACTTATCCATTGGCGCCCCCCTCCTCCCAAACACGCACGCACACACGCGTGCGCACACACACACACACACACACACACACACACACACACACACACACACACACACACACACACACACATATATATATATATATAAAGACACAGACAGATGTCAGACTGTTAACTCACTTTTGTCATCATTTGCATGAAAGTGCCATTATTTACAGAGTAATAAGTATTTTAATATAACGTTTTTAAAACTAGGATGATGGTTCAATATGAATAGAACAGATCCAAGAACAGTCCATCCCAGTCAAAACAGTTGAAGTTTAGCGGGTCTCATGCTGTCATTAGCCAAAATATCTTGATAAACCACACATAAAGGTCGTGGTTCATCAGCTGGTCCTGTCCACGTAAATCCTAAACTCAAATACGGATCATCATATCGTCGTCTTTTGGGTTTAAGCCCCGAACTTGAAGGCTTTGAATCGGGGGGTCTCAGAAACCGATCCATTGTTTTAGCAGGCGTATACCTGTATTGGCGGGCTTGCCAAACAGAAGTGAATTCACAGCTATGGCCTTCTGGGTAAAAAAGGTTTTCTTATTTTTGACGTATTCTTTTTTTTTAGCTTTGTTTAATTAAAAGGTTTAAATATAATAAAAATATATATAATAATTAAACTTAATTATATTTTTATTATATAATATTTTTTCCCGCGCCTCCCCTGACATGCTCTGGCGCCCCCCAGGGGAGGCGCGCCTCACACTTTGAAAACCCCTGCTCTAACACTAGTGCGCACACAGGCAAAGGATACATCTTCAACCACACACACGCACGCACGCACGCACACGCACACGCACACACGCACGCACACGCACACACACACCAGGGCCATACCATTGCATAAACTGCGTGGGGGTAAATCTGAACTAAACCATTCACTGCTTATACTACACTTTGCATACTTCGCAGAGCTAAAAGCAAGACAAATTTCTTCCATCGTGGCTAATGTGGCACAGATGCTAGAACCCGCCTTTATGCATGTGCGACATCGTAAATTGCAAAGCAAGTGTAAACACATGAATTAGATATGGGTCACAATTAAAAGAACGTGTAAACGAACAGACAAAATTCAGGCAACAAATCGGAATTGGGCATCAAGACCTGACAGTGTAAACAGGGCCATATTGAAACAGGAGTCAGATACGAGTTAAATTTAAAGTAATTCAACATTTTGCGCTGGAAAGACCAAACATGCAGTGAACCTTCATTCACCAGTAGACTGGCTGGACCTTACAGGTTAAACACGTACCTGCACTGCACTGTTGAGGAAGCAGCTGTTCTGTCCTGGTTCATTTAGCAGTCCTTTGGTAGGAGCCAAGGACAGCATAGATCCCGGCTGGTAAGACCTGCCAAGATTGCCACCCGGCCTCCTGAAGAACTTGACCCATGCCATTGGATTTGGGGTGTCTGTCGTCCTGCTGATAAAGAGGCACACGTTAATCCATGTTTGGAGTTGATGCCATTCATTAAATGAAAGCTTTTTTTTGCTACTGACCTGTATGTAAGAGGTCTCTTGATGCGTATATCCTAGACAGGATGGTTTGATCATTCCCTGAATTGTGCTGGGGAATTGGGAGGGCTGTTGGCGGGTACTGTGGCCATCAGGCCTCTAGTGACTCGCAGCATAGTTATGAAGGTGTCAGCTGGAATCAGTCAACCTTTAAAGGGTCGTCCATGTTTCAGACGCTGCTCTTAGAGGAGTTCAGCCTTAGAAAAATAGGATTCACTCTGTGGAGAGAAGCAAAGAAATGCATCAATTCATGAAAATAATAAGACTTAAGAGAGACTTTTTTATATATTTAATAACTCATTTCTAATAATTAACTGTTTTAGTCTGCACCGTGATGGCAGAGCATAATATTTTTCTAGCTATTTTGTGAGATACTAGTATTCAGCTTAATGTGTACCTTAAAGGTTCAGGACACACTGGAGAACTTTTTTTTTAATATATTAACAGATTTGTGTGTGTTGAGCATCTGTTAAGACAATGTTAGCACCTGTCAGCTTTAATTGTGGGGAAATCTGGATAATTTTGAGCTTTTGTCAGCTAATTTCAGCTTCAGGGTTTAAAATGATTTTTGGGGCGGGATCAAAATCGGCGACGTAGCGCAGTACAGCAAGAGCAATGATGACGCGCCGGTTTCTCATTATTATTCAAAGCGGAGTTTCCTTATCCTATGAGAAGAGCCGGCTGCTTAATTATTCATGAGAGCATGACAGCACGCGCTTTCCGAAGGCAAGGCAGACGCAGACCTGCCAGACCGACCCACGGGCATGCAGTAGCCGTTTATGAAGGCTCGTATGTGTTTGTTTCCATGATCCACGGGGTTTGTTGCATGTTTTTTCCCACAATCCTGTCAGGGCCGATCATACAGCAAAGCTGTGTGTGCCATGCAAGCATTTTAGTCGGGAGAGCAGCATGAGAATTGGAGAATGGCGGATGTTGTCTTGTATCAGGAGTTCGTTGACATTCAGACACATCGCCGTGCTGCTGTGTTTGCCTAAATCCTCCAGATTACCAGCAGGACTAATGGTTAAAATAGACAGGTCAGGAGACCTGCTCCACTGATTCTGCATTTAGATCTATGATTCAGACCCAGGGATTGAGGGAGAGTTCCTCATTTATAGTGTTTATTATATGAACACGATTATCTTTATAATGATATAAATTGTGGTTGTCTGTAAATGAAATTACGAATAACAAATGTAGCAGGGCATTAAATTACTGTTTATTTCTTTGCATTTTAATTTTGTGAACTATAAACTCATGCGTCTCCTCACGGTTTGTCTCCATTTGTGAGCTAACTGACATCAACAGTTGTTCGCTCCCCTTCTCCCCTGCTGGCCACGCCTACTCCTGCCCGATGCTCGCGGAGCTCCACGCCCATTAATCATGCATCTTTTGAAAAAATTCTGAAGTAGACTTTAACAGAAAGTGGGGGGTGTCATGGCCCTTTAAAGGCTAGTGTATGGAGCTAATAATATGCCAAAACAATCTGAATTGTGTTTTTGTAATTTATTAAATCTGAATTTTTATATGCGGTTAAAATAGTTTTGAATTTCTTAATTTGAATTTGAATTTCTTAATGTGAAATTCATGATTACTGAATATCTTAAATGCAAGACCACTGAATTTTTCCCAGGCTGAATTTTTTATAGACGCATTTTCAAACTTCAGATTTTTTGCTTTCTGAATTCATTGACTGCAGATATCCAGTTTGTAAAAATACAGTCTCAAATATTCAGGATGAAGAAATTCAGAACATCAAATTCAATATTCTAAAATTCAAAACCAGAAATTCAGATTGTGACATTCAGATTGAGCAGAAATTAGGTCAAGGGTTACCCACAAGTTACCAATACCAAAATATTATTGGTTACCAATATTCAAGTTATGAAATTCAAATTCAAATTAACAAATTCAATTACAAAACTATTTTAACTGCATAAAATTTTTTAGATTGATTAAATTACAATTTAGTAATAAGGTGGGGGGGGGGGGGTGCTGAGGTGGAGAGTCCCTTGCCACAATGATGTAGGCTACAAAACACACAGGATCACACCGGTAAAACAATCGCAAATTCGAAAGAAATGAAAGACACACCATTGAAAAGGGTTCTGCTTTGTCAAGTTGTCCAACATGTTTACAGCAAAGTCATGGTGTTTAAAAAAAGAACATTGTATTGGCCTACTGTATGAAGCAAACAAAACGAAAAACAACGTCACATCATTTGTTTCGGAAAATGAATAAGCAGCGTCTTAACGTCCATATGAAAGCATCTGGCTGTCAGTCTTTGATATGACTGGACTTTGCTCCTCAGCACCCCCACACCTTGATGCGCATGACAAGAATAGCATGTGTAGTTATGTTTTTTTTTTAAGTGAGGTGTAAATCGCCGTCATGCATGCGTGAATTATATTTTTGCACTTTTACACATAATAATCCATGATCACATACACAAGACTGCAATCGCACGTGCTCCCCCTAGGTCCCCCGCAGTTCGCACCCTGGGGTTAATTTGCCAGGAAATTGGACAAATATAAATGAATAAATAAGAAAATTATATTGGATATAATTTATGTTACATTATATATAGATTAAATAATAAATTACATTACATCAAATATTTGAATGTTAAATAATAATGTCGAAAGACAATTTCTTAAGGAGGCTAATATTATCGACCAATAAATAAATAAATTAGAAAATTATATTTGATGTAATTTGTACAACATAAAAATTAGTTTTTTAATTAATAAGATCCAAAGACAATTTCTTAAGGGAGGGAGGTTATAATATTGACCAATAAATAAATTAAGGAATGAATATATTGGATAAATTTTTTACATTATATATAGATTAAATAATGAATAACATTACATAAAAATTTGATTGTTAAATGATAACATTGAAAGACAATATCTTAAGGGGGCTTATAGTTACATAAATTAATTAGAAATTATATTAGATATAATTTGTGCATTTTATTATATATAGATTGAATAATAACATAAAATTTAGTTTGTTAAATAATAACATCAAAAGAATTTAAGGGGGTTAATAATGTTGACCAATAAATAAATAAAATAATAAAAATCATTCATTCATTTCAAAACTATTTTGAATATAATTTAACATTATATTATTTATAGAATAAATAATAATAAATTACACTAAATGAAAATCTGATCGTTAAATAATAACATCAAAAGACAATTTCTTAAGGGGGGGCTAATAATAGACACATTTTCAGTCAAAAAAAAAAAAACAAGGCTCCAGACGAAAATATACAACATGAAAAAATCTCCTTGCTCTGTTAAACATCACTTATATACTTACTTTTTTTTATTTATAATTAAGATTTCACAGATCGGCTATAAAGACAGCCACTGCCAGCAATGCAGAAACATCATGACACTTACTTTTAAATTAGCAGCAGGAGGTGTGGCTAAACATTCAAAACTGTGCAAAAGTCAGTAGGTCAGCTCATCCAGCTGCGCTCAATGTTATTGTTTAACTTTTTTTTACGACTTTGCAGTGACCAGTTTCTATGTGCAAGCAATGCAGTGTTACTCAACACAATAAGAGCTGATATCAGTCCCTGTGTTTCCATACAAAGGTACAATCGCATAAATTAGTAGTGTAGAAGTTTTTTTGTGTCATGCATCCTTCTTGCATGCATCTCAATAATACCTTTACTAACATACAGTATACACACTTGAAAGCAAAACTATCAGCCCTCCTCGGAAAATTCTCACAGTATATATATATATATATATATATATATATATATATATATATATATGTATGTATGTGTGTGTGTGTGTGTGTGTATTTTTTTTCTGAAGAAAGTCTTATTTCTTTTAGTTTGGCTGTTTTTTTAGGTAAATATTTTTAATAATGTTTTGAAAAAAAATACAAACTATAAAATTTCAATAGAATTAGTCTCATATTTTCTTGTGGAGTAGGTGTCTAGTCACACTCCTAGTGTACTCATATGTAGAGGACTGAGAAAAATGTTCTTCCGGAAGCCCCGAAAAATACACTGCAGTGACAAAACCCTTTGAGGATAAAAAAAATATACAAATAAATATACATTTTTAGCTTGTACATTTCAAATAGTTACAGAAAAAAGAAACAAATTAACACCACGACTCCTTGTCTGAACAGCCGCGCCGCACCACCAACACATGCCCAACACACAAACCTGTCCTCGTAAGTCGGTCTTGAAACTTTAAAAAAAAAAACATTGAAAAAATACAATTTTCCCTACTGTAAAGAATATTTTGAAAGACAAATGGTTCCTCTAATGTTCAAAGCTCAACCAAAAGATTAAAAAAAAACTTTATTTAAAACAAAATGAAAGGAAGCTTCATACTTTGAGAAAGGCGAATGTCAGAATGACGTAGTTTTTTTTTTTCATGTACAAACTCAACACTATCAGACCACGTCAGCAAACAGACAGCGATGGAAACCTGTTGGGCAGCATTTCACTCAGTGGTATTCAAACAATTCACAAGTAGTTTTAATGTGATCAACAGAGCACAAGTTTGACCACTGATTGAACAAAAAATTTTAAAAAAGACACCTCCTTTGGGCTGTGAGGTGGCCTTCTGGTTTGTAATGTGGTCACATACAGCCATAGCAACACATTCCAGGGTGATTGGCTTAAGCCACAGTGTTGCTCAAGAGCTCTTGTCTTCAGGATTAAACTTTGCTTTCGGCCCTGAAGGAGACACACCTCCACAAACACCTCTCACACATGCTCCGGTTTGGGCCAACCTCAACTAGTTTGGCTGAACATGATGTTTTTTTTTTGTTTTCAAAAGGGCTATTAATCAGTCTGTTGTGCTGATCCAAATCC